TTTATTTGTTACTTACTGAATTTATTTGTTACTTACTGATTTTATTTGTTACTTACTGATTTTATTTGTTACTTATTGATTTTATTTGTTACTTACTGATTTTATTTGTTACTTAGTGCCAATTAGGAAAAAAGGGAGCTTCTTCAGTACTATGGAAGTAGTTTGGCTTTGTTGTTGAGAGCATACCTCCAACTAAACATAATACTTAACCTATTTCAGCCTCAGATGGAAACAATAAACTTGTTTTACCCAACGAGGCAAAAACACATAGTAGAAACAAGTACAACCAGGCTACAAAGCCATGTGATGGTGAGATACGAGTAGCTGGCGATACGAGACCAAAAGTAAAGAAGTGACTTGACCAAGGATTGCTGGAGCGCTCGTTAGCTGCGCTCCATATGACGGGAAGAACAAACAGCGGATGGAAATTACTCCTGCGGTTACGAGGCAGAAAAGCAGAGCTTTTTAAAAAGCTCAACCCAAGAAACAACACCTCAGGTAGAAAATATTTCAACTGCACTTTTATTATATCCGCCTGAGAACCGAAGAAAAATGTATCCCTCAGTTTAACTTTTTTTGTAATTTCCCGCCTCGTTAGATCTAAAAAAGGCCAATCAAATGAAATATCATTGGAAAGGCCAGGATGTCCTCTGTTGAGCACATCAGGACTTAGAAGGGTAGCTCAAATAACACAAAAGTTGTAGACCAAAAGCAGAGGACATAAATAGCCGTTCTCGGGAGGATATGTTAATCTTGCTCGTCCTGCCATGTCTGCATCTCATAATGTTTCCTGTTTTATTGTGAAGGGTCTGGCGTTTCCATATTCAGTGTGTTTAGTTTCACTTCTCCTGTGATGTCATTCTGTTCCTTCATATCAGCTGTTTCCCCATGTTTCCACTTTCCCCGATCACTTCCTGTGTGCATTTAGTCTGTGCATCGTCCTGCTTTCTCTGCCATGTTTCTAGGTTTTCATGTATCCATGCCAGGTCTTCATGTTCACGTTAAGAGTTTTCTCACGTTTAGTTTCGCCTTTGCCTTTTTATTTTGGACCGTTTAACCAGCCTGCAACAAACGGCTCTCCCTCAGTTAAATCAAAGTTTCGTTTTGTGTGTCTGCACTTGGGTCCTCCTCACTCCACACAGTCTGCTTCCATGACTGTGACAATAACGTTACTCTAGTTATCGTTAAACTAAAGTTTTAAGTAGTTATGTTAGACTTTGAGTTATGTAAAAATTTCATTATTGTGCTCATGTTTGATTTACGCTGTGTCATTGCTATTGTACTATAACACTGCTGCTGGCGTCAGTAACAGCAGCTCATTGGAAATGAAGAATAGAAACAGCCTTTATGTTGTTTGCAGTGATACATTTTGCTGCCTCCAAGCTGCAAACATCGATAAAATGTTGTATTTTCTTCCTATGCTGTCATAAATGTCATCATTGTGAATGATACTGTGAGATCACTTTGAGTCTATATCATCCACCCCTACTGGCTATGCACATAAATACAACCGATCCACATTAAAAGCACTGAGTCTATGTTACCCTAAAGATGCATTTGTTGGGCATTTCTGACCATAAACACAAATATAAATTATTCATGTTTCTTCTCTTCTAAAGTTTTACATTAGTGTTGATTTTTTTTTCCCAGGCAAAACCTGTCTGAGTACCAGAGATGGGCAGTAATCCGATTACTTTTTTCAAGTAAC